GGATTGCAGGCAACGTTTCTGGTAGTCCTTGGCCTGAAGTGTGCCTGTGAGACAAAAGACACCACAGAGTTGGTTGTGTATCCCTTCAAGGCAAAGTCTGCTCAAAACTCCAATCTATAACCACCTCCCACATCAACACAGTTTTTAGAGTCCTAAAACTGGGTGCAGGAGGTTTCTACTCGTGTTTTTAATTCTTGGATAACTAGGCAGGCATAATAATCAGAGTGGGAAGGGACCTCGGAGGTCTTCTAGTCCAACCCCCACCCTGCTCAGTCAGGAAACCCTACACCACTTCAGACAAATGGTTATCCACAACATCTTCTTAAAAACCTCCAGTATTGGAACATTCACAACTTCTGGAGGCAAGGAGTTCCACTGGTTAATTGTTCTCATTTTCAGGAAATTTGCTTCTCTCCTGGATTGGTTTCCACCCGTTGCTTCTTGTCCTGCCTTCTGGGGCTTTGGAGAATAGCTTGACTCCCTCTTCTTTGGGGCAGCCCCTCAAACATTGGAAGACCTCTGTCATGTCACCCCTGGTCCTTTTTTTCCCATTAAATTAAACATACCCGATTCCTGCAACCGTTCATTATAATATGTTTTAGTCACCAGATCCCTAATCATCTTTGTTGTGCTTCTCTGCACTCTTTCTAGAGTCTCAATATCTTTTTTTATCATATGCTGACCAATATCCTAAGTGTGGTCTTACCAAGACATTATAAAGCCGGACTAACACTTCCCGTGATCTTGAGTCTATCCCTCTTATTAATGCAGCCTAGGATTGCATTGGGTTTTTTTGGCTGCCGCCACACACTGCTGGCTCACATTTAAGAGATTGTCTACTAGGACTCCAAGATCCCCCTCGGAGTTGCTACTATGGAGTCCCACTAATACTTAGACCCTATTGTTTGACAAGCAATGACCTTGTCCTAATGCTAGAGGACAGAAGGAAACACAGAATAGTTCCCAAACCCATGCTTTTGGAATAGATCCACAGACACACACACACACACACACCCTTCCCACAACTTTCTGGTCCTTAAGGATGCAAAAGGATGACTTCAAAAGGCCCTGGAGAAAAATCCAGTGAGATGTAAAAGTGTGTTGTTTCTTCTGCCTCGTTCCCCAAATTTACCAATCCTGCCCCACAATTAAACCAAACCTGGGTAAAGGATGCCAAATCACCCACCCAAATGTAGGTTTGTACAACATGCAGACGTCATTCATCAAAATGGAAGAGACACCCAAACCGTTTAGTTCGAGAAATTTCAGTCTTTTTATTCAAGGCATCCAAGCGACTTCCTATAGTACGATGGGGATCGGTTAAAAACAGAAGTTAATTCAGTTTCAGGCTCTTTTCCCATCTTACCTGGCCAGCCGGGGTGAGGCTGGGGGTCTTCCAAGGTCTTGGTAGGGGCAGCAAAAGGGATTCCTTTGAAGACATCCATATAATCTCCCAAAAGGCCCAGTTTTTTGTTGACACCTTCCACAAACCCGCCTTCGGTGTTTACGATGCCCAGCTACACTCCGGCCACAAAAGGGAAGAAGCGTGTGGTTAATTCTTGCATCAAGACAGACTGAACAGAACAGAGCTGGAAGGGATCTTGGAGGTCATCTAGTCCAGCCCCCCCCCACCCAAGCAGGAGACCCTACACCATTTCTGACAGATGGCAGTCCAGTCTCTTCTTGAAAGCCTCCAGGGATGAAACTCCCACAAGTTCTGTTCCATGGGTTGGTTGTTCTCACTGTCAGAAAGTTTCTCCTTATCTCCTTGTTCAGTTTCCATCCATTCTTCCTTGTCTGGCCTTCAGGTGCTTTGGAGAATAGCTTGACCCCCTTCTTCCTCCTCTCTGGGGCAGCCCCTCAAATACTGGAAGATGCTCTCCTGTCTCCCCTGGTCCTTCTCTTCGCTAGACTAGCCAGGCCCAGTTCCTGTAACCGTTTTTCATATGTTTTAGTCTCCAGTCCCCTCATCATCCTGGTGGCTCTTCTGTGCACTTTTTCTAGAGTCTCCACATCTTTTCTATAGTGTGGTGACCAAAACTGGATGGAGGACTCTGGGTGTGGCCTTACTAAGGCTTTATAGAGTGGTGTTAGTACCTCATTTGATCTTGATTGTATCCCTCTGTTGATGCAACTTAGGATTGCATTGGCTTTTTTGGCTGCACACTGCTGGCTCCTATTTAGCTGGTTGTCCACTAAGACTCCAAGATCCCCCTCCCAGTTACTGCTGTTGAGCCTGGTTTCACCCAGTCTGCATGTGTCCTTTTGGTTTTTCCTGCCTAAGTGGAGGACTTTACTTTTCTCCACATTGAATTTCATTTTGATGTCAATAATGTCAGCATTCCTACCAATTTCAAAGAGAGAAACCCAAAGGGGCAGCTCAGGCTTCTAGATTAGAAACCCTGCTTGATTTTGCCCCGAAGATTTCCCATACAGGTAGTCCTCGACTTAACGACCACAACTCGGCCCCAAATCTGTCGCTGAGTAAGGCACTTAAGTGAGCTTGCCCCGTTTTACGACCTTTCTTGCTACAGCGGCTAAGCGAATCCACGCAGTCGCTAAGTGAGTGAACCCGGCTGGCCGAGCGAATCTGGCTTCTCAGTTGACTTTGCCAAAAGGGGGAACCAACCGCGTGACGTAGCAATGGTCGTCAGTATGAATCAGTCGCTAGGCATCTGAATTTTGATCCCCCCTGACCGGGGCGATGCTACGAAAGGTCGTTAAGTGTGAAAAACAGCCATCCCTTCTTTTTTTTTTCAGCTCTCAGCGGTTGTTATAAGTCGAGGACTACCGGGACGTTCCTTAGTTAGCTGGAGGTTACCTTTGCAGCTCCTGCTGCCTGCAGCCAGAAGAGGACAACAAAGCCCAGAACAGCCCAGCGATTCATGGTGAAGTCCGAATGTGCTGCTACGTTCCAGACCGATGGCTTTATAGTCTAGGTCCAGCCCCATATCTACGGCAACTCAAGGGCACTGGTGTCGTTCCCCACAGCTGAAAAACTGCTGGGACCGTTTCCTTGCTTCCTGCCAAGTTTTGCAGGGAAATATCCAAGATAAATCCAATAAATGGAAAAAAAAACTTTTTATCTTCCCCTTTGAGGTGTGTCTATCCATCAGCTGGCGCTCTCACATGGTTAGGCTCCCAGTGCTGACAGATTACCAGTAAAACTCTTGCTCAGAGACAGATAATAAGATTAGAAGAAGTAGAAGATAATAGCAATAGCACCTAGACTTATATGCCGCTGCACGGTGCTTTCCAGCCCTCTCTAAGCGGTTTCCAGAGTCAGCCTCTGGCCCCCAACAATCTGGGTCCTCCTTTTACCCACCTTGGAAGGATGGAAGGCTGAGTCAACAACCTTGAGCCTGGTGGGATTTGAACTGCCAAATTGTAGGCAGCTGGCTGCAGAAGTAGCTTGCAATACTGCACTCTAACCACTGCGCCACAGAGGCTCCTTAAATAATGCCACCTTTTTTAAAAAAAAAATAACAATCAGCCTTCCACCAGGGTATAGAATTAGTCTGAATTTCTCTGCCTCAGCCATAACCCAAAGGTGCTTTTATCAAGAGGCACCTGGACTTTCTGGTTGTTTTTTTTCTTTGAAGATGTTTCGCTTCTCATCCAAGAAGCTTCTTCAGCTCTGACTGGATGATGGGGGAATGTAAACGTCTGCAAGGTGTATAAATTCCCCAGAAGCTTCTTGGATGAGAAGCGAAACATCTTCAAAGAAAAAACCAGAAAGTCCAAGTGCCTCTTGATAAAAGCACCTCAAACTATGACCTGGATGACTAAGAATCTTCATATAGACTAACAGTTCATATAGACTAACATATAGAATAACAGTTGGAAGGGGCCTCAGAGGTCTTCTAGTCCAACCCCCTGCTCAGACAAATGGTTGTCCAATCTCTTCCTAAAAACCTCCAGTGTTGGAGCATTCACAACTTCAGGAGGCAAGGAGTTCCACTGGTTAATTGTTCTTATTGTCAGGAAATTCCTCCTTAGTTCTCCAAGTTGCTTCTCTCCTTGATCAGTTTCCATCCATGGCTTCTTTTTCCTGCCTTCTGGGGCTTTGGAAAATAGCTTGACTCCCTCTTCTTTGGGGCAGCCCCTCAAATATTGGAACACTGTTATCATATCACCCCTAATCCTTCTCTTCACTATAGTGAATACCCAATTCCTGCAACCGTAATCACTGAATGTTTTAACCTCCAGTCCCCTAATCACTTTTGCATCTGTTCTCTGCAATTCATTCAAAATTCAGTATGGAAACATTCTGGGACTTTTTCAAGCTCCTCATTAAATTGGGATCAAAACCTCAGGCCAGTACAATTCTTACATTCTCACCCAGATCCTGACCTAAGCAGGGAGTGGGGCCCTTCTCAAAAGCAGCTAGTTCCAAATTGGATTTTTAAAAAAAAGCCCCTCCAAGTTTGCTTTTAAGCGCCCTGTAAACAAATCTCACTTAAAACTATTCTGAAGCCACAAATCTCTTTATTTGCACTCGAGCTGAACAAGAAACCCCTTATCGCTATACAAAACAGTGGAAATTTCTTAAGGCTGTCCATTTGGTGTCCCATAAAACCCCAAACAATGGAATCACGGAGGTTGTTTTTGTCTCAAGGCGTCACGAAAGCAATTCCAAATGAGTTTTTTTTGAGAAGGACAGGAACGACTTCAGTCCTAGTAAGACTGAAATTATAATTTTGCCTGCCGGTGTGGAAGGTCTGACATAACCATCAGGCCTTGCTTGGAAGTTCAACACCGTCCGATCCATAAGACGACTCCAGGAGACAACGTTGTCAGTCGTAGATGGGCTTGGCCCTTGATTGCCAAAAATGCTACAACGCCAAAGGAATCCCCACCCCCAAAGTAGAGGTCTTATATCTGTGTTTGAATCCAACAATGGAAGGAAGGCTGCACAAAGAGAACGACAAAGATGCAACCTGCAAATGACACTTTTGCATAAATCCAGTCAAGTCAAAGATGTAACGTAGCCAATGGGTTGGGTTGGTTGTGCGTTGAGTTGACTGGGTTGTTGGGTTCATTGGGTTGGCATGTTGGTTGGGTTAGTGAGTTGGTTAAGTGGATGAGTTCATTGACTCCTTGGTTGGATTGGTGGGTTTCTTCCTTTCTTCTGTCTTTCCAAAAAGAAAAAGAGCAAAACGAATTCCTCCCTCCAAGAACCAGTCCAGCCAACCAGCCCCAGGATGTTAGACGTAGTCAAGAATCTCTGTCTCCATTTCATTTTCACTCCCATCCGAAGGCTTGAAGACCTCTTCTTCCTCCTCCTCCTCTTCCTCTTCTCCAGATTCAAAAGTCAGCTGCTCTTTGCCCTCTGTGGTTTTAGAAGGGTTTCTGAACAGAGCTGAAACAGACCAGAGACAAGGGATGAGAAGCAGAATGAGAAGCAGAAGGACCCGGTTGGAATAATTCAGCATATGATAGTTTTAATATGGTCTCCGGCACTTTTGAAAATCTCGTGGCCGGCACAGACCAGATTCCAGAATTATGGGGAAAAAACACTAAGAAACACAAAAGTGTTTTTATGAAAACAGGAAAAAGAGAGAACACGCACGGTTGACATGATTGCAGGCAGACCTTGAGTTATGGCCATAATGGAGCCTGCTGCCCATCACGACTGGGACTCGTGACGGTTATAATACAGGCCACTCACATGGCCAACATACCTGGGCTTGCCAGCCCCATTTCCCCCTCACCTGGCCTTTGGGATCGGATTATCTGCCTTATCATCAGTGACATGGTGTCCCTCAATTCATCGTTGGTCTTCGGAAGACACCAGCCGTCCCGCTCCGTACAAGCTGCCTCCATGTTGTCGTTTCGATGGATGATCTTCTGCAAGCTGAAAAAGAAGTCAATTTCAGGGTGGTTCTTCTCAGCGCAGAGCATCGGGCAACCAAACTACGAAGCCAGGGCTAGTCCTGTTCTGACAACCAAGGTCAAGCGAAACTTTGCCTCCTGGATGGACCAAGCCATGGCTGTCATTAGCATCGTTTCTTGGAAATATATAGCTAACAAAGATGACATAACTGACTAGGGTATACTTGTGACTTGAGATGTTTGGTTGAGTGCTCTCAAACATCTGGACAAAGCATCAGTTGACTTTCTGGAGTTGCAAAACGAAGGACGCCCAAACTTATACACAGATTGGGTTTCAACCCCAGATGCTCCTCAAAAATGAAACAAGATCGTGAGTTACCCTTGACTAAAATGCAAGAGGGTTTTAACAGCTTAAGATTAACAGGTCAGTGCCAATGCTGTACCTTTCCACTTTCAAATCGCACAGCTGGTAGAACATCTGTCGATAGGGGGGCAGAGACCCTTCCTCAAAGGTATAAATGGAATCCTAGGAGGAGGAGAAGGCACAGAATGAGAGGCATCCTCCCTGTGGAAGATCTCAGCACCAGTGACAGGAAATCTTAGCAACAGCACTTAGACTTATATACCGCTTCACAGGGCTTTTACAGCCCTCTCTAAGCAGTTGACAGAGTCAGCCTATCGCCCCAAACAACCTGGGTCCTCCTTTACCGACCTCGGAAGGACGGAAGGTTGAGTCAACCTTGAGCCGGTTGGGATCGAACCTCTGGCAATGGGCAGAGTCAACTGGCATGTATTAGTTGCATAACAGGGTCAGGTGATCATCTTTTGTAACCTTCCCGGCGGGCTTCCAACGAGCAAAGTCAATGAAATAAGCCCGATTCACTTAACAAGTATGGTAAAAAAATAATGTGTCATAAAATGGGCCAAAGCTCACTTAACAACCGCCTTGCTTAGCAACGGAAATTTTGGGCACAATTGTGGACATAAGCCGAGGACTACCTGTAGCTCTCCCTTCACCTTATCTTGGAATCTTCGGTAAATCTAGATCTCCCCCTCCAAAAAAACCCCAAGGTGTCTGAAGATAAGAACTTCCTGGTATGACCTGAAGGAGGAGGAGGAGAAGGACTTGCCTTAAGTTTGTATTTGCTCATAACTGGGGATTTTGCACCTGATGTTCCAGATGTGCTGAGCCCCTGTTTTAAGTCTTGGATGCCGAGGCCGTGATTTCCTGTAAGGGATATAAGAAGAGGGTCTTAATTTCTTTAGGATAACAAGAGCAAAGCGGGAGATGGATGAGAAAACCCTTTCAAGAGGGAACAACTTGGCTTACAAGAGAGGAAGCGGCCATGATCCCCCTCATTGGTTGCAGCTGGGGACACTAGTACATAAGAGAGACGGTTAAAACACAGAGTTGTTAAGGGCACCGAGAGTGTCCCAATCGGACGACCTACCTGGTTTTTTTAAAGTAATAGGCAGACTGTAGTTGTAGGTGCTGCGTTTGGCTTTCACTGGCATGTCATTTGGGGTGTACCCTAAAGAGATGGAAACACAATCCATGAAGAAACAATGAATTGTATACAAGAAGCCATGGGGAAGGCAGCCATAAGGGGACTAGTGTTCTCGGGGGAAGCCCCGAATGAGCTGGAGAGCCACGAAAAAGCCGCCCACCCCACTCAGGACAGAGAGAACTGAAAATGGGAGCCACCTTCTGGCTGGCTGTGTTAGACTTTTTTTTTTACCGTATTTCATGCCGCAGCGAATCCTGAAATCCAGAACCTGGTAGATCTTCGCCTCGGGGTGCTTCCTGGGATCGTAACCGAAACGCACCCACAGGCTTCTCCAGGGCCCCGTGAGCTAAGAGGACCGTGAGAAAAATGAAAGGGTCACTAATGGACCGCTAAAAGGTTAGCATCTTGGCAAGGGACTGGGCTGAGATTATAGTGCAAGCCCTCTCCCCTACTTTTCTTGGGCTTTTCTTTTTTTTTGCTGCTTTGGTTGCAATTCATCATTTCAGAATCATAAAATACACGGAACTTTTTTTTTCATATATACAGGACATTTTTAATTTTTTTATTTGTTATGAGATTTTTTTTTATCCTGCCTTCGTAACTTTGTAAGTAACTCAAGACCATGAATGTGCCTCATATTTCTTCCTCCTCCCATTTCCCCCACAACAACAACCCAGTGAGGTTGAAAGAGAATGACTGGGCCCAAGTCATCCAGCTGGCTTTTGTGCCTAAGAGGGGACTAGAACTCACCATCTCCTGGTCAGTGGCCCAAAGTCACCCAGCTCCCTTTCATGCCTAAGGCAGGACTAGAACTCACCATCTCCTGTGATTGGCCCAAGTCACCCAACTGCTTTCATATCCAAGGCAGGACTAGAACGCCTGATTTCTAGGCCTTTAGCACTTAACCGCTAGAATCAAACTGGCTCTCAAACAGGGGCGTAAAAACACAATGCATGTTTATCGACATTATATTCTTTGGGGCTTTTTGTAAGAAAGGACCATAAATGTGGATAAAATCGGGACTCACCATGTAATAAGCCAAATAGGGTAGTAGCAGTTTCAGTTTGTCAGGGTGAACGCTGATGTTGGCTTTCACCGCATTACGGGACCACACAGGACGAAGTTCAAAAAGCTGAAAATAATTTGGGCAGACATAAAACAGCAAAAAGGTGAAATTCCGCTGGGTTTATCTTTTTTTTTTTCTTCTTTTTTTAAACTATGCACCATCTATTTCAAAGAAACAGCTTCAACAATCAGCTTGATGCCTTATAATGTCGCCAAAAGAAACTCAGTTAGCATTGGGTTGATTAAAAAAAAACCATCCCATTAATCATTATTATTAAATTTGTTTGCTGCCCATCTCACTCATTTCACTTAAACTGCCAATTTAGCTCTCATTTTATGAATCACCTACAGAAGAGAGAATGTTGGGTGCTTTAATTATCCTTTAAAATATGCTTATCGATTTGCTGTGCTGGTTCATGACAGAAATGAAGATTGATTTATGGATTAACACTACAGTTGGATTTATTTTTATTATGCTTTCATTAGGATCTTGGGAAGCTACCTAGAGTTTTTAAAATTGGGTGCTAGGTCAACACTGCAGAATGAATGAATGAATGAAGGAAGGAAGGAAGGAAGGAAGGAAGGAAGGAAGGAAGGAAGGAA